CATGTTGTTCCGTGCCGAAAGCTAAGAACCACGCTGCAGCCATCAAGATACTGTATAGGTTTTGGTATATCTAGGGTTAATGCATCAACGCGATCAATTTGAATAATCCACAAAATATCCTTCAGAATAGCTATCACGTTCAACTGTAAATGCCGTCATTTTTGCACTCGCGCACGACGCAGAGGAACCAACGATCGACTTCCATCCAGACATCTTGGCGTGGGACACAGGAACTCCCTGGGGGAGTGCTTATTGCAAACGGAAGCAGGCGCACAGCAATAGCATGGACACAAGGAACCTGCGCCCTATTTTACTTGTTACTTTCCTGTTGGACATTTCCGCTCCAAAGCAAAGAACATTGCAACAGTGTCCAGATCACATTCTATAGTTTCTTACCTTTCTTGATTTCAAGTGGACAGTGAATTACAAAGAAATAAATTTAAGAGCCCACGTATCGGTTTGGGTGATGAGATACTGTACATTTGATCTGCTGTGCAGCATACTATTCTGATGCGGCCTTGAGCACGAGCAGTACAAACTACAGTACCTAAGAAAATTGAGCAGCTTTACATTATTGACCCTCATTCTTCCACCTCAGTTCGTTTAACAAGGAATACTGCATAATGATGATCATTTTCAGCAACTAAGTTCTTCAAATCAGCGCTGATGCAGATGAAGGATTGAATCTATTGTATGTTGCTATATGTCCCAAGAATCAGCGATTACATCAAGCATATCACTCTAATCAGGAAAATGATCATCATGCAGCTTGAATTATTCCTATTTTAAGCTCTGTCACTTATTTGGTGTTCCAAGATTGAAGATCCTGCTGTAATATACAGTACCTTTAATATTTTTTTATTTGTTTGAATGAGTTCAATTCAACCAAAATGACCATCTGAATTCAGATCATTCAAGATGGACTCACGCTATTTCTTGTCTAAATGCAGCTGTTCATGATCTGTTGCATGCTGGTGCTCATCTATAAGAAATGGTGAAAATTAATATGTGAATTTGTCTTCATCTTTTTTTTTTCCACTTCCTTGGTTGATCTGACGGTCTGCAGCGCCATCAGTTACGGTATTACTTTGCCCATCAACAGCACTTGCAGTGTTGGCTTTGCCGAAATTCAAGGACAAAACGGATGATTATAATGCGCCCATTTTGAATCAGATCGGAGCTTCGGACTCATATATGCAACAGTTCAGGGCTCATTCATGCTACAGGCCCTGCCCATTAGAGTATCCAGCCGCTGAGTACAAATCGTGTTTGTCTAACAAATTACCATAATAAGACATATAATTATGAAATAATTGCTGCTGCACCATCATCGACGACTCGCTTATATATACACGTGGCATGCTGATGCGTGCATGCGCTCAAACGAATACATGCGGTAAAAGTACTGTATAATGTAAACCTTTTTGCTGTAAATTCCATTTGACTTGGATACACCAGTTCGAGAGTATATCTTGCATCAAAATGACAGGAAACTTCAACTGCAAATCGAATATACAATGTCTATGCTGCTGGATTCCATCCCCCATCTTACAAGAAAACAGCAGCTCCTTCATCGATCAGCAACAGCAGTGTACATCAATTTATATATATAACTGATACGGAATAGCATTTAGGTTACATTTAATATCTGCATCATCACAATTTATAGCTCGAAGCTTTTTAATATCAGCTGATGGTATTTCAGTTCACAACAACGCTTGTATATTCCACTGTGTGAGAGGAACCCACGATCATTTCAAAGATTAATATAGAATAAGTTACATTTCACATTCTAATTTGAGATGACACTGAGATGACACGTTTATATATGCATCAGAACAGAACTTAGAAGACGTACGAGGGTTCTAACAAAAGTTCTCAGAATGGAAATGAAAATGGCGTCTAATTGAGCTGAAAAAATATTATTCTTTAGGGAAAAAATATTCTTTGGCAAAAAAAAAAATTGCCTCATCTATTGAGTGGATAGCAAAGCTCTGCCAGGGTTCATTTTGCAAAACATTAAAAAAAATTGTCAGTCAGGGGCTCAGGGCTGATTTTTGTTGTGCCAAAGAATATGTTTTCCCTAAAGAAAAATTGTTTTCAGCTTCATTAGACGCCATTTTCATTTCCATTCCGAGAACTTTTGTTTTAACACTTGCATTTCGCAGCAGTACTACATTGTAAATTAAAAGAATTGTTTATTCTTGTACCATTTTTATATTTTTCCAACGTTTAAAAAAAGGCGTAAATCATAACTTTATAAGTGGGTATACAAAGTTCATTCATTTTCAGCAGCTTTATCAATAGGTATAATTACATAAAACAACTAAAAATATTGATAAAATATACGTTGGAATTAATTCAATTAATATCTAATTTGGCCTACATTTGTAAACTTCCGTACAAAAGTTTTCTGAATTTAAATTTTAAGTACATACAAAATTTGCGTGCACATCTTACACTTCGGGATAATTTCCCCTCAAATTTTTGCGAGGAACAGTTAAACACTGTACTGTAGCACATCTTATATACTCAGGAGCACAATATGTTTTTGGAGTGTATGCGGTAAATAATGGCATGCACAAGATATGAATTCTTTTACTTCTGGATTTATTGTAATAACGAGGAAAATGCACAGAATCACTACAGTGCGTACACTGAAAACGCAGGAAAGCATTATAAAATGTTCAAATTTACTGGGTTATCCATACATGGCAACTCTTGATGGTTATGAATTTAGAACTCAAGTCTCCATCATTGTCAAGTTCCATCAGATAGGGTCCCAGCATGGATAACCATGCTCCACTTTCAAATCCTATAAATAACGCGAAAGCCTTCATCTTGCACAAACTGGGCGTACAGCTGTTCATAAATTTGATAAATGGTTTGCGGATCAGAAGTGGTGTCAGTCAAGGTTAGCACAGGAAAACTCCCATCTGCAGGCACAGCAGTCATACATTGGAAGGCACTCATAAATATTTTTTTTTCATTGAAACAAATGAATTGGATGAGAAAGTTGCACAGGAATACAGTACTTGAAATGTAGGAAATTTTCATGGGGTACTGTTTCATGACATATGTCATATTAATTCACTATTTGGGGGTAATATTCATTAACCACATTTGCTTGAAAGTGGTGCATTCTGAAAAAGAGGCTTTATCATAAGTTGATTTATTCAAGGGTATTTGTACATTATCACATTAAACTTTTGTGCATATACATGTCCCAATTTGAAGAACATCAAAGGTCTGCATGAAAAATTGTTTCATATCCTTGTGTTACAAAAAGTTTGATGGACAATTTGACTTTCTCTCGTCCAAATACTGCCGCTAACTCTATTGCAATCTCCATGAAATTTCAAATGTAGGATTAGATAAACTTGTAAAATAAAAAAACTACTATTGCATGCTGATAAAATCCAGCCATCAATAAGTAATTCTTTACTAACAGGTACTATGCACTGTACAGTACTTCCAAAAATATTTGCCTTGTCAAGAGTGTCATACAATCAGGAAGTTTTCTAGTGCAGGTATAGACTCTTCACAATGGAATTCAAGGGATCAGAAAAAATTGTTGCAGACAACCCATATACAGGTGGTACCTTGCAATTTGACCCTAATTCATTGCCAAACTAGGGTCAAATTGCAAAACACTATAAAATCAAGGACAAACAGCACAAAAACACTAGAAAAGAGGCTAAAACAGGTCAAATTTCAGGAAAGAGGTTGAATTGCAAGTTGACCTCCAAGCACATTTGGCTGTCAAATTTCAGGAGGTTGAATTGCCAGGTACCACCTTGATATCAACAGAGAACTTTATGGGACAAACAAATACAAATTTGCCAGACACAGAAAATTTTTGTGGATGGAGTCCACCTACAATGAATTGGATTTAGGAAGAACCATTATCAATACATATTGTAAGGATGCTGCATTGTCCCAATAATTCTTGGTAACATTTCAATTCTTCACCATCAGCTAGGAAAATCAATTTTGATTTACCTGAACATTTTCCTACAAAAACTGAGTTAAAAGAAGGAGTGCACATAATTTCTTAAATACACTGGAATGTACTTCTCTTCCACAAAATTTTTACATCTACAAAATACTAGAATCACATACAATTGATTTGAGAGAATTTTTTCAAGACTAACAGTAAATATATTCTAAAATCAATTTGGGGGATGAAAATGTGATTGGAACAAATGCAGCAAAAGCATAATTCAAGTTACTAGTATCAGTTGGAATTTTTAGCACTTATTTTCTCAAATAAAATTCTTTTTGTGTTGATGAAAATTGGGTCGCTTGTCTAAGTTGTCTTACACTTGGATGATTGTTCTCTCATTTAAGGTGCTTATGAGAGTAGATGGAATTCCGGTAAATGCAATAATGCTCAGCTCAAATATACCTCGTAGAATGGAATGCTTTATGGAGTTTGCACAGTAACACTTCTGTCAATTTCTTTTTTCACTCGCATAAACCCTCTCTCAAATTCGACTTTGGAAAAACTGGAACATCCTCCCAGAATATCATCAGGGATTCATACAATTCCTGTTTCTGTTCCTTCCCCGCAGAGAGGAATTACGTTTTTTTAAACCAAAAACAAGTGGCTCAAAATGGATTATAACGCTTCCACCACCCACTGCAATGACGATTCGCATGTTGAAAACGGCAAAACTTCTGAGAAACCCTTCGCCTCAGCTGACCAGCATATAATCACAGCCATTACTCCAATCCGAAAGGATTCAACCACTCGTCCGCCTCGGAAATCCGCGTCCTTCTGTGATCCTTCAAAAGAAAAGCAACAAAAAAAAAACAAGACCCACCAAAAAGACAGTTGTGCTATTGAACCAGCCTTCAAGAGACGTTATGGAGACATCCCGTCAGACACGTTTAACGACCTCGCTGAGCTGATACCTGTACTCGCACTTTTACTGCTTCACAGTCCCACAACCAGTCCTCTCAAAAAGAAATTGAAAAAACTCGGTACGTGTGCCTCGTTTTCGTTTTTTTTTTGGGAAAAAAAGAGGAAAGCTTTTATTTGAGCTTAGGAAGACAGCCAAATGCAACAAGCGTCGAGTACACGCGAAGAATACCGAGCATGAAACATTTATTTTTCTTCCATTTAATCATCTCACTAGAAAGTCGAAAGCTTACATAGATCATGCTTCAAAGTCACTTCAATGGGAATAAGACACAATTTGGCTCCCACATTTTCTTTTTCGGAAGGAATGAGGAAACAAAGACCACGAACAATTTTTTCGCATTCATCATCGAAGGCTCAGGATTTCTTCGTATGATTCAACATGGAAGGGTCACTTTTTTCAGGTGGATCGAACATTTTTTGTGCTAAATTCAGCTGACATTTGGTTTTCATGTTTTTTCTTTTCCTTTTGTACATTCTTTAAAATTCGGGTGGGGAAAAATTCAACGAATGCTCAACGAGAAGCATCCCTCGAGTAAAAAAAAAAGGTCACGAAGCCGTGCTTCTGCATTTTCACAAATCGGGGAAGAATTTAAGAAGAAATTCTCGCCGACTTCCAAAATCTGTCACGCCTCGCGTAAACAAGGAAAGCCGAGGAATGACATAGTGAATCCTGAATGACTGTATACGGTACCGAAAATGTTACTGTGCCATGGAGCGTTTTCAAATTCTTGGTTTAAGCGCATAACAAGATACCAATGTACGTTCCAACACGACGTGAAACTGAAAATAATCGTTCGTATCACGCAAAGGGCAAAACGGGTCCTCATCAATTTATAATAATTGAAACCTTAGTCAAATTAATGAATTTTCAAAACTTTGATTGCTCAATTTAATCCAAAAAAAAAGGAACTCAATCTTCAGAGCGCTCTCTGCATATTTAAAAGCTAACCAAAGAAATGAAAATTAGCTGAACAGCAAATATCAGACTTCGGCAGATTTTTCCGTTTTGTACCATTGGAGTGCAAATTTCAAAAATCAATCGTGAGTGACTGCAAGCGACATCTAAGAATCATTTGACAAGAACTCAATACCAAGATCGCTTTCTGTATAGTTTAAAGCTGATCAAAAAAATGAAAATTAGCTCAACTACAGAAAATTCAAACATTATAAGACCTCGGCAGGATCCTTTCCTTAAGTTACAGAGGAGTGCAATTTTGAAAATCAATCTGAACGACTGGAAGTGACATCTACGCATCATTCGACAAGATTATCATCATCAATAAGGAAAAATTACACATTCCTCACAGCACAGCAACTCTTAGGATACCCCAAATGTTGAAGAAGCCTTGGACCAAAGATTTCACTTTTTGGTGCCCCTCTTGGAACCCGGTTCAGTTTCCTGATATTCTTGCCGAGTGAAGCTGGACCGGAAATTAAGAATGTGTTTACACTTCTGATCAATTTTCCTCGCCGTCTCGATATCACACTCAATGTCCAGGTGCTTGAAATTGCCAGACAGGGACTTGTACACCAGCCGAACCACGGACTTCTTCCCGTACTTCTCATCCACGATGCTGCAATCCGCAATCGAGTCGATGTGATAAGTGACCGGTTTCACGGGAATGACACTCGGGAGGATCCCAGAGCTTTTCGTCACGGGATTAACTTCGATCTTCTCTCCGGATATCCCGAGGTGGATCTCGGCAGTGCCGATTTTTTGCACGAGAGACACGATAAACGATTCGTACAACGAGGCCTCCATGACGGAAAGGTGTTTCCGCATGCGGATTTCTTCCGCGCGGGTCTCAGAGGGGGCCAACACGAAGTCCCGAGAAAAGCAGTCGGTGAGTTTCTTGCTCAGGCTCAGGATGGAGTTTTCCGGATCGCCCTTGTCCTTCATCACGTGGTTCTTGGAACGGAGTCGATTCGCCGTTTGTTCCGAAAAGCACTGGTCGACCGTCAGTTGCATCAGATCGCTAACTGTTGTTTCTTGCGCTTGGCTTTTCGGGACGAACACGTCAACCACGTCTCTGGAAACAAAAAACTTGCGAATAAACTTTCTTCAATTGAACGAAATTTTGCGTAGGTCTCTTCAGAATTCAGATGATACAAATTTTCAATAGGTCAAAAAAGAGATAGAAACTTCATACGCATGTTACGTACTTGAAATACATACAATAGATGAACAGGTACATTCAAAATATTTATTGAGATTAAAATTTTCGGTAGCTCAGGAATTGTTCGACGTTCATAGACGCAATTATTTCCTCCACAAAAATTCTGGGATGACAGCTTTTTTTTCTGAAACCGTGTCGTTGACTTGCAGGCATTATAAAAACACATTTTCAATAAAACCGCGAAGGATTTATTGAGCATTGGAAATTAGGGATACGGGAAAACCTGCACAGCGACAACTCACCAAAGGGGACAACTGGAATAATTTCCCATTCTTCAATTCATACTTTAAATGACAGGTGAGTGGATCAGACGAGGCAAGAAAATTTTTTTTCTCCTCAGTTTTTATTGCGATTGTCGGCAAGGTTTACACAAAAAAATTAATTATTTTTATCCACGTACTGTATTCTGGAGCTGTTGCACATTGTGCTTCAGAGAAAGATCTTTTTATTTGATCAAAAAATTGGAAATATTTTTACTGCTACAGTATTTCAGTACTTTCATGACCGTGACAACATTAATTTTCCGGATTATTATCTTGAAGTTTTTAATATATAAAAAATCTTTTTCAATTGGCCAAATCATTTCAAATTTGTGGGATCAACTATTCAAAACTTGCTATACAAGTTAGACATTGACTGAAAAGCAATTCCAAAATTAAAAAAAAGAGATGGACATGATATTTCAACTAGATTTATGATGTTTTTTGAAGGACAAAGGTACCTTGTTGATCTTGCAATGAAAAATTAAGAGAAAAATATGTTTCTTGCCTCGTTTGTTTCATTCACCCGTCAGTAAAAGTAAGAATTAGAAAATCGTAGAAAAAATGAAATAATTCTATTTGTCGCTTTTGGTGAGTTGTCGGGGATTAGAAATGTACCGAGACCTAAAAACATCGCCTTGAGTGGAAGCCCTAAAGGCTTTAAAACCAGCGAAGTCATACCCTGGAAGCGGAATGCAAATCCCGGTTCATCTCGATTATAGAATCCAGTACGATTTTCACGAAAAAGCTGCTGAAAATCCTCGTTTAAATAAAGAATAATAATAATAAATGTTACCACGAAACAGTTTCCAGCTCATAAATGTAGATTTCAGCGGAAAGACGGTGGATTTAACATGCAAGAGTAACCAACCAACCTAGCCGGCAAGATCACAACCCGGAAAACCTCAGTCTGCGTAGCTTCATGAGCTCTGTAAGCCGGTTCCACTTTCCCGGGTGTAGAAACCAAGGCCAGACTCGTGAAGTGGAACTTGGAAATCGTCTCAAACCGGTCCAAGCAAGGAAAGTCGAAGTCATACTCTCCGTCCTCTTCGGCAAACAATAAACTGTACGAGGCCACGTGGGTGTGAGACAGCATAGGGGTTCGGTTCTGGTTCACATAGTGCCAACACACGAGGCCGATCACGTCCGACACTTTGGCCGAGGATATCACGGACAATTGAATGGGATTCGTGCCACGTTTTTCGCCCAGGGCGAAGAAGATCTTCATGTTTTTGACAGACACGTCGGCTATGCAATGAGCACCGTCGTAGCGGGCGTATTGAGCGAATGGGTTCGGTGGGCAGACTGGAGCGGCGTTCAGGAGCTCCGTCAATTTTGAGCGACGCTTTTGCAGCTGCAAAAATAATCAAAACTTTCAATTAGGGACTCCAATAAGGGATTTATTTTGGAAAGGCAATCATCCAAAACTTACCTATAGAAAAATTGAAACAAAAAAGTACAGTTTAACCTCGGTAACTCGAAACTCCCGACATCGAATTCGTCAGTCCCTGACTTAATTCCCTTGAATACAACGCATGCAAACCCCTTCCGAACTCAAAGGCTTTCGCCTCAAACCTCGGTAACTCGAATTTTCTGGAGGCTTTTCTTCCCTATTACTTTATTGACGCAGGAAAGAGAAAAATTAATACAAATGTATATTGATGTTTGAAGGAAGTGGATGACTTATCGGTCAAAGCAACCTTCGTCTCCAAGTTTAGCATCCTGTAAACTCTTTTGCAGCAATTTAAGAGAAAGAATGTCCCCAATTACAATTTTTCTGTGATTATTCTTTCCTTCCTGGAAACAAAAAGGCTCTTTTTCCCTCACTCAAAATTTCTTTGCTGGTCTCTTGAAGTTCAACTTGAATAAGTTAGACTGTTTTAAAACTGGAGGTCGGAAAATTATTTGTAAATACTTGCTTTTTCGATATTCATTCTTAAATGCTCTTGGTTTTATGAGACTTACCTCTTCTGTACTCGTTATTCCGGTACAACGTTCGAACTAATGCGCGGAGAGAATAGATTTTAAAAATGGATTCTAGTAATCTGATCCCCCAAAAAATACTCCAGCTTTCGGAAATCCAGTGTTTGTTTCTAAATGAAGATTATCCGATGCCTGAAAGCATAATCTGACACATAATCAACATTCAAATATCACAAATATGAATGCATAAATTTTAAATCCACCTTCTATTGTTCAAAATGATGGCGCGGAGAGGTGAGCTGGGATTCAAGAGTCATCGACTGCAATTGCACGAAGAAAAATTCTCTCCCTCACAAATCAAGAGTATTTTAAGAAATCAAACATATTCTTTTCAAAGACTGAAATTATAAAAAAAAAAAAAAGGATCATTCGGATTCTGGGGTTATTATTCAATCCTTTTGAACCAAATACGAGTTACTCCAGTCCAAAAAATCAACTTCCAGGCAAATTTCACAACACATCGGATTTTCAACATCCTAGAGTCGTTTTTTGTTTCTCGACGGATTCAAAAATCAAGACCCGGACGAAGTTCAAAATACCCTTTTTAAAGAGTGAAATCAGGGAAGAAATGATAATTCGGATTTTTGAATTCGCCTATAATACAAATGTATAAGAATAATATAAATGTAATTCAAATATTTACTATTGCATAAAAATAATTCAAATATATACTAATACAAAAATATATTTATATATTTTTACTGTTGTTTAAGCAAATACGAGTTCCTTCAGTCCAAAATATCGACTATCAGACACACTTCAGAACACAATATAACATCATCGTCATCATCATCCTACAGTAATTGTTTTATTTATTCTCCGAATGGATTCAAAAAACTTGAAGCGAACATTTTGAATACTGGAGACGCACCAAGTTCGATCGCTTTTCGGAAACTCACCGGTGGAACGTTCTTCTTGGAAAACATATCCTCCAAATCCGCATCCGAGATGAGCTTGTCTCGTTTCACGACACCCCAGGAAACGTGTCGAGTTTTCACGGCATCCTCCTTGTCCCGCTTGATCTTCATCCGCTCCAACCGGATTGCCGTGTAAGTCCGGGGTCTCGGCGGCCCGGAACCCGTGAACCCGTCCGGGGATTCCGCAAACACTGCAGTGGCATGCTCGTCGTCAATGACGAGATCATCGTCGCTGTCGAAATCATCCTTCGGCAAGGGGAAGTCGTTGTTGAGCAAAACGTGCTCGCAGAGCTGAGACTCGTCGCCGGTGACGAACGAGTGACGAATTTGCTTGAGCAACCGGCGCTTGTCGTCGTAGAACGCCATCACTCAACTCGGCGGTGGGAACATTTATAGAACACATTCGTTCGTTTTCGCGTGGAAAATAAAAAAGAAACGAAAGTAATCCCTGCGATCAAAATATAACAGAACAAATAATACTCCACCTACACCTGTGCCAAACAATTGAAAGTTTTACTCGAAAGTTCTGGGACTCCATGAAACGTAACAAAGGTCTGTTGGATTCGTCCCTCTCTGAAGTACGGACTGAAACGTTTCCTATCCCCANAATGCTTCCAGGGCAGAACCTTGACTGCAACTCGCAGTTTTCTCGCGAAACTTTATCCCAGGTTGCCGATGGATCGTAGGCACTTGCAGTTGTGGTTTCTCAAACTGAGGCAGTTGGAGATCTGCCGCTTTTTTCTGCCTGGAAAAATAAAAACCAAAAATTCCATTATCAGAAATGTATTTTAACTCGCCAGTTCGAAAAAACCATCAGTGAACTGAACACACATTTACGATGTGATCATCGAAAAATTAATAAATAGAGCGTCATCGTTTTTACGGTCTTTTAACCTGTTTGACGCACCACATCTCGTGGACACTTTCCACGGCGAGATTATGTGCTGGCAACCATTCAAAAATTTTAATCGTACTAAGCATTTAAAAAAAACTAAAAACGGCGAAGAGGAGCAAGCAGCCCAAAATTGGTGGATTTCTCGGACATCACAAAGACATCGCCGAAATTTCAAAGAGTTTAATTAGGTCAGATACAGAGTTAGTCTTAGTACTGTATGTTTTTTTTCTTTCAAATTTTTACATGGTATGTATTTGCGCAACATAAGTCTGACATTCTGAAATACAGCGCCACTGTTTTCCATAACACTCGGAATGAAGCAGCTAGAATTTTAAACTCCACAAAAATGTTAAAATAAGGAAGTTTCAAGAGAAATAAATTGCAAGGTTATAACTCACTTCGGTGTCGGTTCTTCTGCTTCTGCAGGTTTCCAACCTCCACTGCCATAAGCATCATCAAACCGCGCATTCCAATATTGCGCAGGTGAAATTGCGGGAAGAGGCTTCACGGGTTTAGGCGCGGGTTTTTTGGCGAATTCAGACGCACTTTTCTTCACCGGAGGACCCATCGCAATTTTCACTTTATCTAGCTTTTCTTCCCTATTACTTTATTGACGCAGGAAAGAGAAAAATTAATACAAATGTATATTGATGTTTGAAGGAAGTGGATGACTTATCGGTCAAAGCAACCTTCGTCTCCAAGTTTAGCATCCTGTCAACTCATTTGCAGCACTTTAAGAGAAAGAAAGAAGCAATTTAAGAGAAATAATATCGCCAATTACAATTTTCTGTGATTATTCTTTCCTTCCTAGAAACAAAAAGGCTCTTTTTCCCTCACTCAAAATTTGTTTGCTAGTCCCTTGAACTTCAACTTGAATAAGTTCGACTGTTTTAAAACTTGTGGTCAAAATATGATCTCTTAAATACAGTACTTGCTTTTTCGATATTCATTCTTACATGCTCTTGGTTTTATGAGACTTACCTCTTCTGTACTCATTTTTCTGGTAAACCGTTAGAACTAATGCGAGGAAAAAATATATTTAAAAAATGGATTCTAGTAATCCGAGCCCCTAAAAAATAATCCGGCTTTTGGAAATCCAGTGTTTGTTTCTGAATGAAGATTATCCGATGCCTGAAAGCATAATCTGACACATAATAAACATTGAAATATGAATGCATACATTTTAAATCCGGCTTCTATTGTTCAAAATGATGGCGCGGAGAGGTGAGCTGGGATTCAAGAGTCATCGACTGCAATTGCACAAAGAAAAATTCTCCCTCACAAATCAAGAGTATGTCAGGAAATTTAACATACTCTTTTGAAAGACTGAAATCAGTAAAAAATAATAATCATACGGATTATGGGGATACTATTAAATCTAATTGAACCAAATACGAGGTACTCCAGTCCGCAAAATCAAGTGCCAGACAAATTTCAAAACACGATGGATTTTCAACATCCTACAGTATTCGTTTTTTTGTTTCTCGACGGATTCAAAAATCAAGACTCGGAAGAAGTTCAACATACCCTTTTTAAAGAGTGAAATCAGGGAAGAAATGATAATTCGGATTTTTGAATTCGTCTATAATTCAAATATACAAGAATAAATGTAATTCAAATATATACTGTACTAATTTATAAAATTAATATAATTCAAATAAATACTAATATATAAAAAAATACATACATATTTTTACTGTTTTTGAAGCAAATACGAGTTGCTTCAATCCAAAAAATCAACAACCAGACACACTTCAAAAAACAATGGATCATCATCATCATCCTACTGTAATTGTTCTATTTATTCTCCGAATGGATTCAAAAAAATGTATGCAAACATTTTGATTACTGGAGACGGACCAGGTTCGATCGCTTTTCAGAAACTCACTGGTGGAACGTTCTTCTTGGAAAACATATCCTCCAAATCTGCATCTGAGATAAGCTTGTCTCGTTTGACGACACCCCAGGAAACGTGTCGAGTTTTCACGGCATCCTCCTTGTCCCGCTTGATCTTCATCCGCTCCAACCGGATTGCCGTGTAAGTCCGGGGTCTCGGCGGCCCGGAACCCGTGAACCCGTCCGAACGACACCCCAGGAAACGTGTCGAGTTTTCACGGCATCCTCCTTGTCCCGCTTGATCTTCATCCGCTCCAACCGGATTGCCGTGTAAGTCCGGGGTCTCGGCGGCCCGGAACCCGTGAACCCGTCCGGGGATTCCGCAAACACTGCAGTGGCATGCTCGTCGTCAATGACGAGATCATCGTCGCTGTCGAAATCATCCTTCGGCAAGGGGAAGTCGAACAACTCGTTTTGCACGAGCGTCTCGACTCTGAGCAGCGGCCACTGCTTGCTCACTGCTTAAACGAACTCGTTGGCCGCGAACAGCAGCATCTTGCGGTAGTGAGTTGAGCCGCCACCCTTGTAAATTAGAACACATTCGTTCGTTTTCGCGTGGAAAATAAAAAAGAAACGAAAGTAATCCCTGCGATCAAAATATAACAGAACAAATAATACTCCACCTACACCTGTGCCAAACAATTGAAAGTTTTACTCGAAAGTTCTGGGACTCCATGAAACGTAACAAAGGTCTGTTGGATTCGTCCCTCTCTGAAGTACGGACTGAAACGTTTCCTATCCCCAGGTTTGAAACAGACGTGAGAGAAAAATTCTGCATTTGTTCTTTTCTACTGTAAGCCTTTAGCAAATCGCTTTAATTTTTATAATTGAACAGGCGCCACTTAAACAGAACAGCACTCAATTTCAAATTAAATTTAGGCCAAAGCAGTTTTCGGGTCGGAAATCGATAGAAGAAATGGAACAGAAGCTCGGCAAAAAAGGGTTAAATCAATCTTCACTAGATTTACGAATTGTACAGGGACATTATAAGTATGATTCAATACTGTACTTGAAATCTTTGTGATCACGCGAAATTATGAAATGTTGAGTCTAAGCATCTCTGAAGACGATTTCATCGAGCTTTGTTCCGTCAGTCCCAGAACTCATGAAAATAACCCCAGGATACGAAACACCAGAATATTGAAATTCACGGCTTGAAGGGGATACAAAACTGTATTGGGTTATCGCGATCACTTCCACAAAACGGAACCATAATTCCAGATTCAATAATAACATGTCACATCACTCATCGCCCGGTCGTTTCCGAAGATATTTTTGTCGTTCGGTATCCATTTTACGCTTTTTATTACGAAGGTCCCGTCTTGGAACTGACGTTGAGCGTCAAAAGAGCGCTTTGAAATAGGGTCCAACGGCTACCTAGCATCCGTGAACGTCAACACCAAAGAGTTTGACTCCGTCAACCTCTAGACGGCTTTTTTTCTGCCTGGAAAAATAAAAACCGAAAATTCCATTATCAGAAATATTTTCACTCGCCAGTTCGAAAAAACCATCAGTGAACTGAATCACACATTTACGATGTGATCATCGAAAAATTAATAAATAGAGCGTCATCGTTTTCACGGTCTTTTAACCTTTTTAACGCACCACATCTCGTGGACACTTTCCACGGCGAGATTATGTGCTGGCAACCATTCAAAAATTTTAATCGTACTAAGCATTAAAAGAAAAACTAAAAACGGCGAAGAGGAGCAAGCAGCCCAAAATTGGTGGATTTCTCGGACATCACAAAGACATCGCCGAAATTTCAACGAGTTTAATTAGGTATGATACAGAGTTAGTCTTAGCACTGTATGTTTTTTTTTCTTTCAAATTTTTACATGGTATGTATTTGCGCAACATAAGTCTGACATTCTGAAATACAGCGCCACTGTTTTCCATAACACTCGGAATGAAGCAGCTAGAATTTTAAAGTCCACAAAAATGTCAAAATAAGGAAGTTTTAAGAGAGATAAATTGCAAGGTTGAAACTCACTTCGGTGTCGGTTCTTCTGCTTCTGCAGGTTTCCAACCTCCACTGCCATAAGCATCATCAACGGCGCGTAAGGTTATAACGCGTCCACTTTAACGCCCTTCTCCGAAGTGCCCAAATCCGCGCCCAAAAAACCGCTTAAGTCTGCGTGAAAAGAAGTGGCCTCCTGGGTAGCGTTAAAAGTGAAATAGATCTTGTTCTGCGATTTCCTCCTTAGGTTCAGTCTCAGGTGCATCACCAGATTCACCACCTGCATTTTCTTCAATCAAAATGGACTCTTGTTCTTCCAGACTTACGTATCCTTCTTCCGGGGCAACCCAAACCGTTTCTAGAGCGAAAGAAATATGATTCATTTCCACTTAATCCAAACTTTCGCAAGTTTGGGAGATACAATTTTGAAAATATACGATTCAAGATAGTCATGGCCCCAATAAAGAATCCTCATTTGTCTTTGTTGTCTTTAAATTTAATTCAACCTCTAAACTCGAACATTTCCTCAAGTCAAGTTTTCAGTTAATCCCTCAACATTCTCCTCGAAAATAACGAAATTAAACCTCTTTAAATCGAAACAATTCAAAATTCCATACGTCTGAAATGCTTTCATAATTCTCAAGAATTCACAGGAAATTATGTGAGCTATTGTTAAAATTGACTACTATTGTGGGAAAATAACAAGGGACAAGCATACAAAAGAAAAATAATTTGGGAGAAGAATTTACTTTTAGTTTTCACGTTCCAGAAGTAGGAGTACCCTTCTTCGGTTTTAGCTTCAAACCACTCGGATTTGGATTCAGCGAGTTGCTCAGTGATCTCTTCAACCCTGGCTTCTTGACGAGCAATCTCGGCGTCTTCCTCGTCAATCTCTTGACGAAGAGTGGTTTCTTCATCCCTCAATTTCGACACTCTCTCGTTGTGTAGTCTTTCCAGATCCTTCTCGTAAGCAAGTGCTGCATTCTAGACAAAGCAATCTCGGCGTCTTCCTCGTCAATCTCTTGACGAAGAGTGGTTTCTTCATCCCTCAATTTCGACACTCTCTCGTTGTGTAGTCTTTCCAGATCCTTCTCGTAAGCAAGTGCTGCATTCTAGACACACAAAAAATCACCCCGAAGTAATCGTCAAAACCCAACGATAATAAAATTGGAAACCCAGTTACAACGCCATCCGCAAAAATTAAAGACAGCTCAAATACTCTCCTGCTAATTAATTCTGTCTTCGATAACCCGCCTAAAAGATTCAAGTTTCTGTGCGAGATCTCTAATTTAAAAAAAAAACATTAACACAACGATGACACAATTTACTTCTTGGGAACTTGAGTAGATTTAATTTACGCATCTCAGGGTTTTTATGATTGTTTCCTAAAAGAATAACAGTTTATTTTTTATTCTACTTGATTCACGTACAGTATTAATTTCGTCTTTTTTTGGTAAACCGCCACAAAGAAATGGTGGCGGCTTATCGAGGTTTGACCGTAACTCGAAAAAAATGTGAGGATAAAATTCTGCGTACCCGCTCCATGCGCTTGAAATCGTGCTCTAAACGCTTGTTCTCTTCGTAATCCTTCTGACCCTTCTTCTGAACCTCCTGGATTTTGGCAATAACGTTGTTTTTGTGCCGTGTGCCAAACTCGTGGGCTTGGATGCTCTGAACAAGTCGACGAAGCCAATACATTATCCCTTGAAATAATTTCAATTTCACGAAGTACCGAGAGGATCGACTCACCGGTTTGTTATCCGCCAGCCAACACTTGCAGTACTCGCAAAATTTGCGAGGCTGGGATTTCCAGTACTCAGACATTATTTATTTTTTTCTCAACGAAGTTTCTGCTTCACGACGGAGAACACAAAATTACAGGAAGATTACTTCAGAAATTCAAACCAACGTAATAAAAACACTGCGTAACCTGTACACAAAGAAACGAAACTTCCCGAAGACAAAGAGGTGACAGTAGGATTCAAAATCAGTCCCGACTGAAAATCATGGATTGTACCCAGAAACAGCTTTCCAACGCAAGGATTTTGCGAAATTTAACTTTCAACTTAAAAAACCCCTGGCAGGAATATCGCACCATTTCCCCTGTGAAATACTCACGCGTCAAAATATCCTTTATTATGTCGATTCGTGAACAGAAACGCAATTCGAAGTAAAAAAAAGAGTAAATCGGGGCTTAGATCAACAATATTTGAATATTGTTCCCGAATCTCGTATCAGACACGAGAGCCATAACTTCAGTCAAATCCTTTTCCGTACTTACAATAATGTCAGTGATTTTCTGAATTTTTTGTGATGAAGACCTTATTCTACGTCACACAAAATGTTATCTCGACACGAGCACCGAATTGACAGCCAAGGGAATCGAGTTCTCCTTAAAATAATAATAATTTCACTCAATTCGTAAGAAAAACTGAATTCAATTTTGAACAAAAAACACTCCCTTCACAAGACTAGCATCGATGAAATGCTTCGACCATCAAGCATTGAAATGAGCATTGCTTTCGCAAAAGATGCTTTCTTTTCGCCAGAGAATGGGAAAACTACGTGCAGGGTTCAACCGTCAATGTGGAGATTCACCATCAAATAGGAAAAAACTAGGTAAAATTTACAGCAGTACAGTACTAACTAAGCGCAATCGAAAATATTTGACCAACATTAACGAAGTACGCGTTTCATTACATGCGCCCGAACTGAAACCGTAACAGGCGAACGAAAATGCCGCGTATAATTTATATAAGCTCGAATTCTTTCTGATGAACCTTAATTTTGCTCTGATCTACGTGTCAAATTAAGATTAGAATGCATCAATTCATCTCTATCGTTGAATTCATTACAGTTGTAATTTCATACAGGTAAACTCTCTCCACGATAATCTTCACTTCAACGATTTTCTCCGTAGAAAAAATTTTCATTTGGTCGCATACGGGTACTCAACGATTTTTTTCTGGTCCCCTGATTTAATTGTAGAAAGAATCCACCTGAAATTATATATTTTCAAGAACGCCGAATTTGATTAGGGAAAACGCATCTTATCATTTGCGCAGAGAATCAAGTTTTAACCGCATCGCCAATTTCTGTTGGAAGAAACTGTTTTATATGCTTGGCTCTTACCCCGAACCTTCGACATTGAAGTGATACAGTATTAACGGAAGCAAATTCTGTTGGGCTAACAAAAGATCTTCTCTCAGAAGATCAAACAAGAACAGATTCACAATAGACCACTTTTAGAGCCATTCTAGAAAATTTGCACTGTAAGACTGCTGTCACGTGTCACGATGAATGCAGCATGAGTACGGAAACAAAGTCTTTCAACGACTTCCCTTGCAGAACAAGGGTCCGCATGTTTCAGTGCTGATTCAATCGAATCCCGCGTTTCTGTTGCGTCATGAAGCACCTAGAAAAGATTCGTGGGGGCAAAAAATTTTGGGTGAGAGACAACCTTTCTGTGTGCAGTGGATTCTCTCCCGGAACCCATAAGAATAGCAGAAATATTTGCGGAGGGAGGAATTTTCGCGCCTTTTTCCTGCATCTGCAAAAGTCAGAAACGCACAGTCGCAGAAAAAACTGTAAATTCAGAGGACGAACTTTCGCTTTCATTTTTGGTGTCATTTCGAAATCCACATCGGTATTTATCTTCCACGTGAGACCTGAAAAATACGTTATTCTTTTCTGGCTGGCTTTACATCCCATGTGCACCTGAAACATACACAACATACCCGAGCTTCTCCATACCGTCTACGGATTGATCAGATATTCAGAAGTACATTAAAAATTCAGTTTGGAAATTAACTTTTTTCACACGAGCAACATTATTCCGAAAATATCATGCAGCACCAATGCTTAGACGCACTTCATTTCTCAGCCCTTGAAAGTGGAGGAAAGTCTGCCAGCGAATTCATCCCTATTCCTTCACGAGATTAAATTTTCGAGCAATGTATAAATAAGGTGCTAATTCAAAGAAGCTACTCCAGGAGGGGAAATAACCAAAAAATTCGAGATTTAGTTTCATGCATCAGTTCACACTTCAGGTCATCCTTTTACCTTATCCTCAATAGTGAGAACTACAATACTGTACTTTCAGTATAGTTGAACCTTGATCACTCAAGCCTTTCAAATACATCCTTATGCTTAATTTACCTCAAGTCTCTGCCCGAATTTCATTCGAAACACTGCGTCAAAGTCCTCCCAAAATCAGAGGCTTTTTCTTCAAACCTGTTGAACTCAAAATTTCTCGAGGCCTTTTAGGTTATTCATTTCGACCCAGGAAAGAAAAAAGCAATAAAAATTTCACTTGATGCTTGTTGAAATGAATTGAAGGACTAATTGGGCAGATGAGCCCTTACCCCCCGAATTCGAAGAGACTGCTTTCCATAAAACGGGCTGATTCACAATAGAAAATACGAAGTGCGTCTTGGATTCGCAAAAAACGGCAGCTGATGTAAGCAGAAACTACACATCACAAAAAAATAAAAATGAATATCGACGACAAACGAGAAGCTCGAGTACGCTGAATTGGTAAGAAAAGGATCTTGAAACTGGAGCGATGGCTGTTTCAGCGATTGAGAGATGAGCCTTCCGGCATCGACCTGCGCAAACCAGAACACAGACCTTGCTTTAAACAACCGTATTGACAAGTTTCTCCCTCCCAAACTAAAATCTTGAACCACCCGGTCTGTTCCCCGCATTACATCAACAAAGTATCCTCATGTCCACCCGCCCTTTGGAAAACAATGCTTACCACGCAACATCGCTTCCATCGTTCCCCTCATGGAAAAACCAGGGCCAGGTCGCGTACTCATTTATCTAAAAAACAGACCCAGGAAAAGGACGGGGAAAATAGGGAGAGCAGAAAAAAAAGCCAGATTAGATAAATGATCACAATCGTCACTTCCGCCGGACATCAAATCTTCACACTCTTTCTATTTATCCTCTCGGAAAAACCGCTCTTTTACGCAACAAAACGCGCTTCTCGTCATAGACGACAAAAAAGATCCCCGACATGTTATTCTTTGTACACGTTATACATCTTACCAACGATGAGTCGTACAAAGGGGACTAACACACCCAAAACAAAAAGACCGAGAAAGCCGTGCAGGAATATAATGCCTGGATCTGCTCTTCTTCGCCATCCATGCCTAAAGGAATGGAACCCGAAATAATATAAAAATTCCACTGTAGTAAGCCATATGCGCATAAAATCGTGATTTAAATTTGAAAATAATGACTTCAGCACAACATCCCATCAAGAAAGTTTCGCTTGAAACAAATCCCCCCCTCCCCAACCGCCTCCAGACTGCCAGAGTACATGTGCGTCATTTCGTGTAAAACATCCTCCTCTAGAAAGATGACTGAACAACTGAACACCCACTTCAGGTACAATACGCTAAAGTAACAATCGGCCAAAATGTTCCTGAAATGCTGACCGAACTTCGCCAATTGAAGGCCATTCAATATAATCCATTCACATACAGCACAGTGTGCCGAAAAAGTTCTAGTTCACCAAGGGAATTAACACAAGTGTGTGAGTGTGAGAACATTACGTGTCCAAAACGACGGATTACCTCATTTTCAGTTTGTTCTCACATTTCTTAGGTGAGGGACTGTAGAAAACTGCTTCATTCAACAAGTCATACTAATCCCAGTCAGGGGAATGTTTTTCTTTTATTTTTGGCGGACATTACGCAAGGAATTCCAATACCATATTTACTAATGTACCAAATGCACATTTTTACTCAAAATCGAGAGGATAAGGGAGGGTACGCGTCGTAGGACTTCATCCAAATTAGTGGCTGGAAATCTGGGTGAATGCCTTGCTCAAGGGCGCATGGCACTCAAGTAGATACGATACTATCAATTACAAGAGCATCAAAGACCAAGCATTTTTACGATGGAATTTTTTCGTGGAAGAAAAATCTCGAACGAGATGTCCTCCAGCAATCACACAGGTTTTGCGGGATTTAGGCTGGTCACTTGAAAATTCACCACGACCGACTAACACGGCATACAGACGCATTCCACTCAAGAACCATTAGCTTTCATAGAGGTGATGTGCTGAAGGCAAAACGAATGCAACAAATGGCTTACTAGAGCAGTGACACAAGAGCAAAAAAACAAGAATCCGTCAGGCGTCCCTCAAACGTTGGGGAAGAATCCCCCGGGGATCAGGCCTCCCACCGCCGTGCGTCGAGTCTGTAAAAACTGATTGGTCAAAGCAGCAACGTCAGGGAACAGTTGATGATAGTTAACAACGGGGACATAAGCCACAGTAATGATCCTGCCGGCAAACCAGCGTCCGTGTAGCGCGTTCACACACGCAGTGGCAATCGCCACAGATGGGCACTTCACATACACGTTTCCCTGGGCCGAGGTTTTGTCCACGAATACGTGAAGAACACCGCCGTGCTTGTTGCATTCCTCGATGATGTCGTCACGAATTTCGGCTTCCCAGTTGGGATCTCCGGACATAGCCTGCATTGGGTCGAACATATTCGCGATTAAGAAACACTGTGTGGCGATTGGAGGCGCCGCCATTTGCTGGCTGAGGGTCAGCGCGTTAGCCGCTGCTGCTGGGATCTCCATTCCTGTGCCTTCTGCCAGTTTCGCCATCAGTTGTAGTCTTCCTGTAGCTCCCAGGTCAATCCCGGCTCTGTCCATGTCATCCGTGTCCAACTGGGACGACTGAAAGATAAAAGAAAAGTGTTTTCCAGTAAGAGATTGACAAAGAACAGTTCTTCTCTGGCTGCACTACCAAACTGACCCCAAACGCCCTGCGGAAAATGCAAATCGACGCAAATGCATTTCCAAGAATATTTCACCAATTCGAATAAGTACAGTCGAACTTCTTCAAGTCGAACTTCAATTGACCAGCAAAACAATTACCGGTCAGGGAAAAAAGCATTTTTGTTGAGAGGAAAGAAGAATTACTGGAAATTCGAAATGGAGATATTGTTTGCCTTTGATTTTTTTCTTAAATGAGTTGAACCTTGACAGGATACTGAACTTCGAGGTAGGGTTTACCCAATTAATCTTTCTTTCAACAGTTTGAATAAAATACTGCAATAGCCAAAAGGAATCGCAGTACGTTAGGGAACGCACTCGAGTAAACGAAGAGTATTTACTCGAGTACCACGATAGTGAAAAGAAAAAACGGGGTGTGCGTCATAATTGGGTAGACATTTTCAAATGTGTTATAAGTTTGGGTTTACATAACATTTCATCCTGATGTTAAATTCTGAGAAAATTTTAACGGAAAAACTTACTGCAATCAAAATACTGTAATCGAAAATTAGTTGAATTCCGGATCAATCCACGTCTGTATTCAAATTTGGGTGTTCTCTTTTAAAAATCTTAGAATTCCGCAGTCCTTAAACATGTGGTGCGCGTCTTACTTTAGGGCGCGTGGTATTCGAATAAATAAAGGTGATTCGGATTATGGAAGTCGGAAATTAAGGCCTTTACGTTAGAGAGGGGGGGGGTTTAAATACTGTAGACTGTTCCTACGGGAATCAAGCGAAAAGCTTGGGAAAATCCGACATAAAAGGTTCATTACACTATTATATAGTATCGAGGTTCAGCAGTAATAAGTGAAGTTTCGGAGTATGAGGTGGCACCAGGTAGTTAGAAAGATCCATAGTTCCGTACCACGTACAATAAAAAGTAAATGAATCCCATCTCATAATTGCAATTGCTGTTAGGTTAGGTTACACGTCAGCACTTGGCCAAAAATTATATTCCTCTGCAAGATGTCGCTTGTCCATGACCTATCATACGTCCTTCGAAGGAAATTGGGGCCATCTATACCAGGTTCTTTAGTGATTACGGCCCCGCTCAACTCCTGAACAGCAAAAGGCGTTCAGACTAACGAACTTAAGAATGCTTAACGTCTTTACTCCGCAATTATTTAGAACAGTAGGGTATCGGCCCTATCTCTACTTCCCACCAAACTCACAAACACCTCGGATGGACCACCAGGATTCATAACGAATTTCCAACAACATACCTGCTGATGATGATGATGGAAATTATCATTCCGATCTGTGACATGTCCGACACGCATTGCACGGCCAGCAAGTTCAAATCCATTGAGTTGCTCCAATGCCTTCTTAGCGTCGTCGGCTTCCTGGAACGTAACGAAACCGTAGCCCTTAGAGCGATTCGTATCCTGATCTTTGATCAACGCTATATTTTCTATCTTTCCGAAGGGCTCAAAAATGCCCCGTAACATCTCCTCCGTGATATTGAAATGTAACGATCCAACGTAGAGTTTCATTGGTCCAGCTTGACGCTGCATTGTGATAGAAGGATTCGGCATTGCAGCGCGGTTCTTTTCGGCTTGAGTATGTTGCACAATGATTGGAACCCCCATCAGTTTCTCTCCAGCGAGTCCCATGGCCAGAGGAACTGAGGACACTTCGATAAATTCAACGTATGCGATACCCTTCGATCGTCTTGTCTTGGTGTCAGTGATGAGTTTAACGTCGCGCACTTTGCCTACGGAAGAGAAGAACTCTTCGAGATCGCGAGGGCGAACTCGGGCGGATAACTGCATGCAGAAGACCGTTCTCGCGTCACGTTCTTCTGGTGTTAGATGGTCTGGGCCAGCCAAACGTCCGCCGGGGAGAGACATGACTCCTGTTTTCGGATCTATGCGGTATTCCCGGCTCGGAGAGAACCCTCGACGATACCTGAAACGAAACGGTGAAGGTGTGCGGCGGCGGCGTTCCTTAGAACGGCGGCGACGATCGCGGGAGCGACTGCGATGACGACGTTCGCGGGAACGCGATCGGTGTTTCCGATCCTTCGATCCAGAGCGTTTCTTACTTTTTCGATCCTTAGATCGTGAGCGGGACTTGGAACGTTTCCGGTGCTTGTCTTTACTACGACTGCGTGATCGTTTCTTCCGGCTGCGACTGTGGCTGCGACTCCGCTTCCGTTTTTTTTCATCTTTCGATGCATCGCCGTTCTCCTTAGTCTCACCGTTTTCGCCATCGGTATTTGACGACTTTTTCCGCTCATAATCTTTGAACGTGGACTCCAACATAGCATCAATATCATCAAAATCTTCAGCCATCTCTGATTCGATGCGTACAAACTTTTTCAACGAAAACGCGTTTACGTCGGACGTATCACTCCACGGTATGCACCTTACAAGACAGAGTAATAATAACGCTTTGCTGGTACACTTCCTGCAAGTGAGTGGACCTTCATTAAGCTCAGCATCACAAGATTAATTCAACACAGCATTCGTAACACAGAATTGCGTGAACTTCGCAACTCTTACATGAGATAATCTCAATTATGTTCAATTCCGTTTGAAAGTGATTCACATGAGATGCAACAGCTGAATACAGTAGATGGGAGTGTTAAATGTCACGATTCCAAGTCATCCGTTGCCTCACTTCTCTATCGCTTTCCGCTTCACTCGCGTTAATTCCACTATATACGTGCGTCCATTACATGTAGGAGGACATGTTGATCGGTGGCCTTCCCTCAACAAAGTATAGAGCGTACGGGTCTGTCATAGTAACGATTTGAGTTTGATATACAGTACAACACTCTACAATACAGTACTGTACTGCAATGCTGATCAGCATGGTGCACGTGTACTGTATATAATACACAAGGGAAGCTGACGCAAATCGTATGAGCAGGATGTGAACGTTAAGAAAAAAAATTTACTGCGCAGCGCACTGCATGTATTTAAAAATGAATTTCTTCAAAATGACAACAAAGTGACATTTTTATTCCAATCGGCATCAAACCATCTCACCGAACTTGATCGTGCAACAGAATAAGGATTTCCATCAATCCCAACTTTACTTTTCAACGAATTGGATTGCTTCAAGAATTTTAAAAAGCAAGTCGATGGGGAACTTGCAACTTGGGGTAACCTCGAATCTAAATACCGCACATGGAAAAATATTCATAGACGGGGATTTTTTTCGAGATAAAGCTTATGATGAAATTTGTTAGCACCTTCTCACCATGATAACCAGCATTTTGATTACGTCCAAACAATGTGCTTTCCGCATGCATTAAGTTTTTGGAAGAACTCCTTTCAAAGTTTCTCAGTCATTTCAAAACTATATACAGCAGTGTACGGTTTCCATGTTGTTTTTACTGATATCGTAAAATATTAACGTCTTTTTATACTTTACTCACTATTATTTGATCAACAAGATATAATCTCGACAAACTCAGCACCCTATAGGACCTTAATTTTTTTACTTTTGAAAAAATAGCATACCAATTTCAACTCACTCTCAAGATACACATGCAGCAGGGAAATTTATTATAAGAATTTTTCATGGCAAGAATTCAGCAAGATTCATTGTAATGAAACATTCTACTGTACATTAAATTACAGTGTCTGAAATTTGCAAACCGCACATATTTTTTCTTTATGTGCTGAAGAATTGTTTTCCTATATAATTGCTGTGCTGTAGCAGAGAATGATAAGTCAAGTGGTTATCATGGTGGAAAAGGTGATAGACATCAGGGTAACTTTGGGGAGGGTAGCCAGAAATCAAGGGGTGCAATAAAATTGATCACCAAGCAAAGCTGATTGAGAAATGGATAATGGGGAGGGGGTTAACGCAGGAAACACGCGACATAAAAAATGCCATGATCAGAGCAGGAATGCAAAATTTCTGCAGCAAAAAGTTGAATAGTGTGACTCCTGAACTCCTATACTCCTCTGGGAAAATCTAAATACAGTTCACCAAATTAACTTGACATCATTTGATGATTTATTGTAGGACTGGCTGCTGCATACTAGCTGTTTTTAAATACAACGTTTCCAAGAATATGACATAAATTTGCGTATGATATACTGTTGCCTCCACCTTGCTCAATTATCCTCTCAAATGTTCGTTCAAAATGAAGGGTTGTCACATATACTGGTGTACTTGATCTCGATTATACAGCCTCAGTCTTATTTTTGGGCAACCAAGTAGCCTTTTCTGGAAGCCAAACTCAGGATGAATAATCTGCGGTGCTCAGAAGTGAAAATCAAGATGTTATCCAAGCTTTGATGAGGAAAGTACAGTAGTACTGTATAAGAATTCAGCAATCCACATTCCACTACCCTTTTTACTGTTCAGAAATTTTCGCCACATCCCGTTCCTCCCCCTGAAACAGAATATATTTTCTCTCTGGGGAATAGTCGCGCCACCTAGGCAACAATCGGGGAATTTCGATGAGGTGATCACAAGCCGCTGAGCTGTTTCCGGAGCTCCTGAACCGAGATTCCGGCAGGCATGGGGCGACGCAGTGGAGCCGGAGCCGGCGGGTTCCCGTCTAGTTCTAGTGGTGTACTGGGTTTGATGGTGAAAGTGACGTGGTACTTGCGGGACTTGTCAAGCTTGTTGGCCGGGAACTCTATGACTTGTCGCTGTCCGCCGTGGTTGAGCTCGAGCGTCAACGGTCGGCCCGGGTCGAAGTTCTTGAGATCTACCGCGGGCTCCATCAGTGCGCCGCCGCGATCGATTTTGGGAAGAAACGGCCGAGCCGGCCCCTTGATGGCATGGTGGTGGTTCGGTCTGGTAACTGCACCACACATGCGTGAGCCATTCCGTGGTGATGGTGACGACGACAAAATAAGGGAACCACGACGGAGCGATGGTTGTAAAGAGAAGGAACATCATCATCAGTCAAGTCAAGGAAGGTTCACATGCTGCAATTCACTGTGCACGCGCGCATTCCCTTTTACAGCATGATTGGATGAGGAAACATTCCACCCACCAAGCCACCATCAACACTTGAAGACCATGCAGAAGATTCTCAATAACTCCATATCATCATCGTCAAACACGTCGATCTAACTCAAGGTACGTTTTCCTCGAATTATATAGCATCATGATCCACATTTATAAAAATTTTGAGTTATGTTATTACAGTTGTGTAGTATTTGTGTTCTAACTTCTGATTATATCCAGAAGAAAAGCATAAAAACATGGAATCAGCTTTGAGTCACACATTTTTGCTTAATTAAATTTAGTTTTTTACTTTTTCTTTTGTTCTCTCTGCTTGGTATTTCATGGGTTTGAAAGTACAGTACAGTACTACACTGCATAGATTAACTCCCCTCATAATTGAAATACTCTGTGAATATAATGTGCTTAACTTGTATTCATCTTATGCAATGCATTACAATGTTTTTGCTTTTGTTGAAAATGGATACAGTCCTGCTCCTCAAAACCAGCGGTGTAAAAAAAATCAAATGAAATTGTATTATACAGCAAATATTGAAGCATATGCAGAAATTTTGCAGAAAACAGAAGTTGAAGATCCAGAGCAAGAAACCATTTTGCATGGCCCGTATAATGTACTGAACATGGATGCTAATTTTGCTCATCTTGTTGAGCACTTTTCTCATGATGGAACCACATTGTGGTGGGAAAATTGAACAGAGCTTGGCAATTACAGGTAGTGTAAAATATATATGCAAATATATATAAGCAATGACTCATCATAACTGTTTCATCATTTGTGCTTATGGTGAGTCATCATTTATACTTATGATGAGTCATTGCTTATTTTTCACCTTTCAATTGCACTTATTTGGGGTTTTCTGATTGCCTGTGCAAACTATAAGTGAATAAGAAAATGCTTACATTTAGTGATGGTGACCAGCAGGGTGAATCATGTGTTTTTATAAAGTTCCCCAGATGACATTATGATTCACAAATGTATCTTGCTCAATTTTAGTACAGTAAATATTTTGAGTGAATAGTCAGAATACATAACAGTACCTTTGCATAACTTGACAGAGTTTTCTTGTTTGAAATACTGTAACAGAAATTGACTGCATCCTGGTGGAACTGATTCAATTCAATGTAGCTTAAGTTTAGGTAATATTTAATTTGGTTTGCCTGCATAACATTTTGTGCTTATCTTTGAATTCATTCCATGCATTGGTCTTGCTGTACATATAATATAAGATGAAGTCAGGGTAGCATAAGCGAAGCGATTTTTGGCTAGAGTTGCTTGAAGATCATATTTTCTAGGATCATCATGTGTGGAGTGTATTATTTATGGACGAGGAAAGAGGAAAGAAAGGACAGGGAAAGGTTTCATGCAAAAGGGAGGAAAGAATTGACGAAATATGGAAACACAAGATGGCAGCAGGTTATTGGAGATGACAGTCAATTGAGGCTGATGGAGTCTCGGAAACTCACTGTAGGCAGCACAGGGCACACCGGTGTATGCATGGGCGGCGTGGTGGCAGGTGTGGGTGCGGTGGGTGCACTGGGACGGGGAGTCCAAGATGGCGGCGTCCGCCCCGCCCACCCTCCCCTGCATCCAAGTGTCAACCTTTGTGCCCACGCTCTCTGCCCCCAAGTCATCATCCTGCAAGCACCACATGTTTTTCTTCTTTCTTTCTTTCTTTCTTTCTTTCTTTCTCACCTCCCCCTTTGTATATATATATTTATATATTGTATTCCACTCCCCTCATATAGATATCTATATATAGTTTCCTCCAGCTTTCATGTCTCAAATAAGTGTCCTCCCTGCCTCAATCACCCACCCCAACCCAAAAACATGTATCCCTGGTTCTTCAATTCCCCCATTTTTTTGTCAGCCTTTTCAATACCAACACAGAGGGGTTGCATCAGTGCCAGGAAACAACCAGAAAATATCAATTTTGTTTATAAACAAATTCATTTTTGGTACTTTCCTGTTATCTTAGTACCCATTTTTTTGGTCTCATGAATTCAGTATTTGTTAGGTTAGGTTAGGTCAGGTTATGTTAATTGAAAGATATTTGTAACTAACATAACCTAATATATTTCAATTAACATAACCTGACCTAACCTAACTTTACCTAACTGCCTCCCAAAATTAGTTTTTGGGGAATGAGGAAAAATGAAATTCACAGTTTCTGGTAGGTGCACAGAAAGTAGGTACTGAGATAACAGGAAAGTACCCAATTTTCAATCAAAATACAGTTGATCTGAGTTGAATTTTGAGGTGTACACAAAGAAAGTTGACCTGGAGAGTTTTTGAAGTAGCAAGTTTTGCTTCATTTGAATACTTCAACCATTATACATTATTTTCTTGGCTAAATTATTGTAACTGTTTGCTACATAAATGTCCACATGTCATATCAGCAGGAAGATGCCTAATCCCTTGTGGGAAGCACAGCAAATTATTGTCTTTGGTTATCTGGAAGATGTTTTCTATAATGTAACCCAATTTTATGGAAAATGACTTGAAAATTTGACTAAGAAGGATAAAGTTTCAAACGTTGGAATTGCATAGGAAGGGAATTTATCAGTATAAGTCACTGGAAGTTTGACTTAGCAATACCAAACTGGACACTTCTTCCGCAAACATTTTACATAGGCATATCATCAAAGCAAGCTCTACGTATATAAAGAACAAGAAAATAAAGCTCATCAATCCAGGATTTAACTTGGTGGTGTGCAGGTGGTAGCTTGCAATTTGACCTCCTGCAATTAGACCATCTCACAATTCAATGGTCAAATTTGCAGGGATGTTGACTTGCAATTTGACCTGCTTTGGCCACTTCTTTGCATTCTTTACTGATATTTTTGAATTTAACAAAGCGTCTTGCAATTTGACCACTTTGAAATTTGACCTTACTTTGGCAAATGATTAGGGTTGAATTTCAAGGTGCCACCTGTATAATTTGACTGGAAATATTGTTCTGTATATTCTTCAAGTCAAGGAGAATAAATCTGGAAAGAGAGAATCAGGGAGAAGAGTGAAATGATTTGACTTTTTCCTCTAATGGGAAGAGAAGTGACCTTTACACCGAGTACCTTAGAAAAAAAATTATCATTTAAGGCCTTCATTTTGATTATTGCCTGAAAATATTGGTCCAGGGTTTATTCAAATTGTATGCAGTACAAGACTTCATATACAGTACTCTTGAGACAATACAGACTTCAGAGGATGTTCACCAAGAATACTTTCCTCAAAACTTGTTTTTCAAAATAGAGCAACAGTTACAGGGTATGCTTGTATTTTAAAATGTTTGTAATGTGGATACTTTTTTTGAAAATACATTCATGATTGAAATTCAGCAAAATGGTAAAATTTTACAATAGCTCAATTACAGTACTTTAATAGCCTTTTAGGATGCTTGTCATTCTTCAGCCTATGGTTGAACCCAACTGAACAATGATGGAATTCTAATGAAATGTCTGGTATTTTTCAGAAGTGTTCTGCTGCACCTTTATGCTGAGATCTTTGTAATATGTTACTTGGAACAAATGTCAAATCCAATACAATGCATCTAAATTTCATCAAGTTGCATTTTATCATATCTGACCTGTTTTTTTAGGAGTACTGTAATACATGTTCTCATGTTTCAGAATTTAAATTGAGAAAAAATAAGTCTGGGATAAGTTGTGCATGCAGATAAAAAACAAATTGGATTGTTTGCAGCAATAATTTTTTTTTTAATTTCTGGTTGTTTCACTGGCTGTTGCCAACTTTCTTCTTTTCTCTGGGAAACCAACAAGCCTGCCAACTTTATTGATGCCAAAAAAAAATAGAGCATCAAGTTGCGCAGAAGTGTGAGCCAAAATGAGCTGCTAACTCAACAAAGATCAGAAACAAAACAAAAATAAAAAACAAAAACCCTTTTTTTGCTGTGCAACAAAAATATTGCACAGCTCGTTCCAACTGTAAATTTAGTCAACTAGTTTGACAGAGGTTTCATATAGTATTAGGTGTTTGCCTCCCCCATCACTATATTCTGTCTAGAAAAAGTCACATATTGGGTTGTTTAAACTTTTTTTTAAATGCTATAACGCGATGGCTGTCTGTTTTTAGAACAGGATTTTGGCCATGAAAAAAAAGTACTACACTTGGCCAGCAAAAAATAAAAGCACACTTTTTTTTGTTTTTGCTTAATAGAGTCTCTAGGAAGGTTCTGTTTCAGCACGTGGACAAATGGCTGCTGGACGCAAGAGAGGGAGGGACCAGGACTTGTATGATGCAAACAAACAGACTTAAATGTGCAGAAAATCACACATATATGTATACACGCACATACGCATAAAAACCAGATGAGTGAGAATTTAAAAAAAACGCATGCTCATACACAGTAATTGTGTGTATTATATACGTGCAACAGGCTCATTGTGATATTTGACGAAAACATGCTCACGATACACAATTTGTTTTGATATTTTTTTGTTTTGTTTGGCAAAAACACGCACAAAGACACACACACGGAATACACACATTGATTTTGGGATCCTGATTCAGCTTTTTTGTTTGTTTTTGTTTAGGAAAAAGGTTCAAAAGTTTGTTTGATTTATTTCGGTTTTTTTTATATGTGTGAATTCACTCCACAGACAGGAAAAAAAAACATAATCAACACGCATACACGAATTGTTTGGCCAAAACTCACTTTGACTCACACTTCAGCTTAGATGGGATTACCCAGATCTGCCACAGATATTGTTTTTTGTTTTTTGTTTTTTTCGAAAACGAAACACAAATTAGCCATCGAGGAAACACAACCGTGTAATTATTTGTTTCTAAAAATTTCGGCCTGAAAGAAAAAAAAAATCTTTCAGTGGCTTTCTGTAGGCAAGAATTTCTCACCTTTGGTGGTCGAAGAACGAGTCCTTTCAGGAGAGTTGGGTTTTGAATGGACTTCAACTGATCTGAAAATTGAAGACAACAGATACTGTATAACAATATCGTATTTGTCAAAGTACCGCACGCATCACGATTTTTAGCTGAAAATTTAAGTCAGAAAAACATTTTTTTCCCAATGTAAAAAGCAATCCCCAGTGTGCAGGGATTTTTTTTTTGCTGAAATTTTCTCTTACATACTCAAATGAAAGGTGAATTGAATTTCATGTTATCTATAGCTAAGCTGTATACTTTATTTTATCTGAAAATTTATTTATGCTATGGCTGCTGATGTAACTGTGACAGTCAACCCCTGCACAACAGACTTAATTTGGGCATCAGGTTAGTCTGTTGCGTGAAAATTCTGTTATGCAAATTCAATCATTAAAAGCTAATTTTTTTTTACTTTTCATCATCAATTTTAAACCAACAGAAGTCTGTTATGCAGATATAGTCCATTGCACAGGAGGTAAAACTGCCTCCAGAGGCACTCTGTTGTGCAAAAATCCATTGTGCAAGGGTTGTATGTATAGGAGAATTTGAATACAATTCCAGAAAAAATAGCACATACAAAAATATTTACAGCATCACAATGTTTGATCTCAACTTTTTAGTAAGGGAATGTTCATCCATGTGGTACTTGCATGAATACATTATACTGCATCACAAACAAACACAGAATATCCAATATTTCACATTGAGAGGTAATGAAAAATATTTCCTCCTATCTAAAAACATTTGTGGGGTCTCATATGTAAGTATTTAAAGTATGGAAGATATCTTTAAAATTGATCACTCAAATATTTGCTGATCTTGTTCATGATTCTCCATTTTCAATAAAATCCTGAAAAATATTAGAAATATCCATATACTGTATAAATGTAAATTTTATTAGATAAAGCATAGTTCATACATCTACCAGATTCAAATATGCCTTGCATTCAATTGAAATGTACTCAAACAAATATGTAACTGATGAGCTGTGTAAAAGTCAGACTTAATCTCATCAGCAAATTCAAGTGCAGTGAATGATGATGAAAAGGGAGGGTTTTACAAGTTATATCAATGTAAATTCCACAAGTTTGGTGATACGTACTTTGAGTAAAAGTTATGTACAGGTGGTACCTTGCAATTCAACCCTAATCCATTGCCAAACTAGGGTCAAATCGCAAAGCTGTCAAATTGCAAGACACTTCATGAAATTCAAAAATATCAGTACAAAAATGCAAAAAAGCAGATAACATTGCTGGGCAAGCGTTGAATTGCAAGTCAACCTCCCTGCAAATTTGACCATTTGAATTGTGGGACAGTTGAACTGTGGGAGGTTGAATTGCAAGGTACCACATGTACCGTTCTATGTATCTGTTTTTTTCACATGGACATGTTAATGAAATGTGGACATGCAGGGTTACCAACTTGTTTGCCTGTTTCTGTATTGTTGAATATTGTTTAAAAAGCATCAAGCTATGTGTTATGGGCACTGACCATACAAATGCTTTTCAAATGGAGCAAAGGCATATGGGCCATCATAGGACTTGACTCCAAGAAGTCCTTCCTTTTGATATGCATCCACCAAACGTTTAACCAGTACTTGTTCATTGGCCTTCCCTGCTTTGACTTGCAGCCGTTTCAGCTCCAACAGCTCTGTGAAGATTTTTCTTTCCAGCTCATATCTTGCATTAGCTCTGAAATAAGATTATGATGGGTTTAGCTTCAACAGAAAGACAATTTGATAAAAAACACAGAAATGCCTCAAACTCGTAATTTATTTCAGTAAATAAAAATACTAAGCTATACATAAAAAAATGTATGTCAAGATTGACCTACACTGAAAATTTAAAAAGTTGATTCCTATAAGTAAAAGTAAAATGGTCTCACTTATCACTTACTGTTCAGTGAATCCATGCAAAACAAAAGACTAGTGGAACAGAAAATCCGCAGAATGAGTTTTTGATGAGAAATAATTATCCTTAGAACATAATGTTTTAATGCATGAAAAAAATTTATTGGTGGATGAGTCAATTCTCCAAAAAAATATGCATTTTAGGCACAGATATGAACAAAAATTCTTGAATTTGTGTCAAAATTATTATTGAAAGTAAAAAGAGGGAATACATCATGGAATCTTCAAAACAACATCAAATTATTGGTTCATGAGAAACAAGGCTAAAATTTTGGCCTCTTTGGTCCCTGAAATTCAAGAATTACAGCAAGTTATGAGTTTCCACATTTTAAATTTTTTAGAGATAAGATAAACTCTTATCAAGAAGATACTGGAATAAATTTCAACAGGTAAGTCAAATATTACAACTTCTTTGTTAATCAAAATAAAAGAGAGCGTTTTTGCTGGAAACCAAAAAAAAACTTTTCAATGAAACCACAAGGGCATTTTTATCTGCGTACAGGATTCTTTCCTGACAAAATTCACCCTGAAGCAGATTGTTTTTATATGCACACACTGTATGTGACCAACAGTGAATAAAAACATCAACAAGAACAAAAAACTACGCATCGAAAGAAATGAAATTAGCATTTTTAAGCACAACGATTTTGAAAATAGCAAAATGATGATTTTTTTGTTTTTGAAAAGATGAAGACGGTATGAAGGTACAGTAGTACAGTACTCAGTACTAAACTCTCCGTTTGACACTCACTTGCGGACTTTGTTCCGGATAACAATGGGGTCGTCGGGATCCAAGATTTTCCCATTTTTGACCATCACATTTTCATCGTGTTTCCCGACTACGGGAATAGTGCTACTTTTGGCGGGTTTTTTTCCTTTATTGGCTGCTGGGGACTTGTTGGTTTTATTGAGCTTCTTGGTGGTAGATGTCACGCCTGGCGAGAGTCGCTGGGCTTTGCTGGCCTGTCGCAAAAATCCAAGCAAAGAAACTTCAACACAATTTTCAGTCACGAAAATTTGATCTTTCGGATGTTGAGATCAGATGGGATGATTCATATTTCGGTTTACTTTTGCCTACTTTTCCATGCAGTTTAAGTATTGTAATGCATATTACTTGTTTTCAAAGTACAATACAGTGGCTCATTCCCTTTTTTTTATAAAAGCTATGTTCCTGAGGAAAAAAAATATCTATAAGACACAGCTTCAACAATCTATGAGCTCTATTTGCAATTTCTTACCCTGATTGAAAAATATTTTACCTAATTTTAGTTGATTTAGTTATTCCTAAAGTATATACAAGCTTAACCATGCAAGAAAGCAAAATGTACCTGTTCAGGTAAGCGTAAGCAGCAATAAAAGGGACAACAGTGCTTCACTCAGAAGGAAGATATTCAGCAACAGGCGCAAGACTGAAGTATATTTAGCTGAAATTTAGTTTTCTCTTTTTTTCATATCATGCTCTTGAAAATGAATATTCTATGAAAGAGTTTCAGTAAGGAACCTCTTCATCTTTATTTACAGCCAATCTAGTGGATTCCATAGACCAGCTTTCCCCAACCTGTTTTTGCTTGGGAACCAGCAGCAAATAAAAAAAATATATTGTGGACCAGCAAATTATCATAAAAATTTCTGCGATCCAGCAAAGTTCCATACGATTTTTGAAGACCAGGAACATTTTTTAAATACTGTACCTGCCATAAAGTCCCTAAACAAAACTTGTCTTGCGAAAATTAAGTAAAGAACTGATAATCAGCTACAGTATATATTGGAATGTCTTGAAAAAAATAGAAAGCTGGGCTCCAAGAAAGGCTTCTCAGATTCAAAGCTGAAAATAAACCATTTCAGACAGGTGAAGATATTTCTGAAGCATAAAGTGTAATAAGAAGAAAAGCCAAATATTTATTTTTATTTTTTCTCAGATAATTTCAACTGCCATTTTTTCAAAATTTTGGATAATCAATAATCAAAGGCTTCATTACTACCTTCTATACATTTATCATGCTGATGAAATTTTCCCACAATCCTGCAAAAAATTTCTGCAGGCTGGCGCTGGTCCATGGACCACTGGTTGGGGAACACTGCCATAGACTATAATGACTGAATTCTTCTACAATATAATCTTGAGTGATTATAATTTTTTTCTCATGACTAGAATGTTTGTAAAAAGCACATTTTTGAAATTTCAAGGATATCTGGAGTATATGTGTCTATAGCTTTCCTGAAAGGGAAAGCCTTTTGAACAGTGGCTCTCAGTGTTGACTAAATTATTCCATGAACTTCAAATAGGGGTTACAACATTTTACGAGTTCTTTTCTCCGGTTCTTTTTAAATTTAAGTCAACACTCCACATGTTTCTTATCCGTTCTTGAACTAACAGGGATAAAGTTTTATACTTACGATAACTCGTTTTAAAAAGTACATGTCAAAAATATTAATTCCTTAAACTCAAGTTCAAGCTCCCTTGTGAAATTTTTCCTTATAAGAGCTTGTCAAGCAGATTGAGTAACTCTGCTCTAGAACATGGTTTTCCTGATATTTTTTAACAATGCACTTGCAAAACATATTTTTAGTATAATCAACTCCAAAAATGCTTTTTTAAATAAATTAAATCCGGATGGATTGATGGGTCTACAGAAAATTTGGATAAAAAGGCATCCCATCCAATCTCAATTTTATAGAAGTATAAATTCAAAGCTGGCAAAGAAGAAAAGAATGGGTAAGGGCAGTCAGCAAATCTAAGCAAAAAATAGCCTGAGGCATCAACCGCAAACAGGCAGAAAACCAACAAAATTGCCAGGGAAAAAGCCCCATCAAAAGCTGGCTGGCAGGTGGCGTGGCAGGTCTCTTTTTTTTTGTGGTCTCTATAGCAGCAGGACATGCAAACCCATTCTGCATGCTGTTCGAAACATACCGCCCCAGGCGCCATGTCCACGTCCATACCCGCTGCAACGGGCCCAGGCATGAAGTCAACCGAGCTCTTTGTCTCAGCACCGTTGGGCTCTGTGACAACGCGCACGCGAGTCGTTGTCCCAGACGCATCTAACGTGTGGAGCGTATCTGTACTGCCGCTAAGCGAATTGCTCATGGCTACGAATTGCTTTCGAGGCTCCGTCTGCGACGGATCATGAATTTGAGCTTCGCTCGGGTGCTCTTCGAGTTGGTCATCTTGACGATTATGCCTTTGCTGTGGTGGTCGTTCTTGTTCTGGATGGTGTTCCGTTTGTTGTGGCTCTGTTTCAGAGCTGGTGTTGATCTGTTCTTGGTGCACTATGGCTTGTGTGACTTGTTGGGACGACGAAGGGGTTATTGGCATCACTACGGGTCCTCCGACCGTTGATGCTTCAGTAACGTCTTTCGATGAGGACTTATTGTTTGCAGTTGGCCTTTTGGATCCTACGGCGCGTTTCGGCTTCCAAGGCTTTTTCGCGCTTGACACCCGCGGTCTTTTGGCTACTCGAGTGGTGCTCCTATCGTGTTGAGCAAGTTTCTTATTTGCTGTCTCTCGTTCTACGTGTTCTTCTTCTTCTTCTTCGTATTCTTCTTCCGCGTCTTCGTCCTCTTCTTCGTCGCATTTCAAGCCGTTCGTTTCGTTATCATTCCAACTGAAAAGTTGCGTGATGCGATAAGAAAAGGTGTCCGAATTGCTCACTCTCCTCTGATATCGGGATTGTGTCCAGCCGTGGGAGCTCAATTAATCAGACAAACTTTAATGAAACAATATTCTACCTATCCGGTTCACCGACATATTTTGTCAAAACTTAAATTCCGGATACGGATTACGATAATTTTCTTCAGCTCACGAACCAACTGGTGTTTCTGCCGTATGTCAGAACAGCTTTCCGCCGCAAAATTTCAAACCTGAGTATCTAGTCGCTTATTATCATGAGCTCAGTATTTTGTTCGAAACTTTTGTGTGAAAAATTGAGGCTCCAACGTGGACGATGAAAAATGTTTTCCCAGTTGGCATGCATATAAAGGCAAGCATGCCCATCTCATTTGGGCAGTATAATTGAGGATTATATATATGCTCCACTATAACAGGCATAGGGTAGCTAGTTGATCTATAGAAAAAATAAATGGACGATTGTCTCCTCGTTGCACTGACGAGAAGACCAAAAATATACCGTAATCACGCAAATTGTAGACGTTCTTTTTGAAAAAAAAAAAGTATCATGGCATGCCTTCAGAATATTTTTGCGTCATAGATGCGCATGCGAAATGTTATTTGTTTTCGAAGTTCGATAATGTTTCCAGCAATTGCTATTTCGTGAAGTCATTGAACGTGTTTCTATCTGAGGATGAGTAATTTTTTTTTTTTCAGATCCGATTGAAAAAGTGAAAACTGAAATTTTTAAAATGAGGAATTAGCTGTTGAAAATTATGCCCAATACTCTACAGTCAAACCTCTGTACGTTAAATTTCAAGGGACCAGCTGAAAAATTCCAAGTTACGTACATTTTGAGTTGGGGAAACAATCATTTTTGTTGGGGGAGAAATAATATGAACACAGTACAGTACAGTGACCCCCCGCCTAACAGACCTCCCGTGTAAGGGATTTTCGCCAAACAGACCAGCTCTGCAAGCAGTTTTTCCTCCCGCCCAACAGACAAAATCCACCTAACAGACTTCTTTTGGTTAAAAATTAGTGTTGAAAATTGAAATTTTCATTTTTTTATGTAATTGATTTCGTGTAAAGGACTTTTTGTCGAACAGACTCATCCCTTGCACGAATCAAGTCCGTTAGACGGGGGTTGACTGTACTTGGAATTGTAATTTTGTGATACCGTATTCTGGGCTTTGAATTGCTTATTAAATGAGTTGACAGGATGCTGAACTTGAAGGCAAGGGCTCATTTAGTCTTTTAATTCATTTCAAAACACATTGACATATCTATTGTGTTTCTTTTCCCTACTTTACATGTTGATGTGATGGAATTGTGTTTGGATGAAGATGGGTGGGTTTGGATCATTATTTGAACCTTGTTGATGCTGAGAAGCAGAAAATAAAGCTAGTTCAATGCTTGGATGGCTGAGGGTTCCTGGCCATTTTTCAGCAAAGTTGGGATTTTTAGGGTCTGGTGTTATTTCAGTTTGACCAAAGGTTGCTGAAATCTGCCCAGGTTGCCAATGCTCAAGTTGGGAAAAATCAGGGAAGGGTGAATCCTTTTGTACTTCCAAATTCTCTACTGCTAAACCTATGAAGGAATTCCTGTAAAAAAGCCACACAGTGAGGAATTTTTTTTCAATTTTTGTTTTTGAGGCACACTTTTCTGCAGGATTATAAAAAAATATTATTATTTTTACTAAATTAGGCCTTGGTGCACAAATCCATTTTTTAAAGTTTCAGTGCTTGTGGGCACAAAATTTCACAAAAATATCCTGACTTTGCTGCGCAAGGGTTATCAATCAATTTATTTTCCCTGTGTCAATAAAATAATGGACAAAAGGCTTCCAACAATTGAGGTTCAATTAAGAAAGTCTTCAAGTTATGGAGGTTTTTAATGCATTGTTTCCAAGGGGATTCAGACATCAGGGACTTATCAAAAAATTTGACATGAGGAAGTTTGAGTTACCATCCAGGTTAAAAACTGTATTGTTCCTGAATTCAATTTCCAGTGGAACAATGAAGTACTGTACTTCCTGTGCGAATTTGGATGTGTTTTATCTGATGAAACATTTGGGAATCGATGAGTGCAAATTCCCCCTCTGGAAAATTGTGGTTTTTGGCGCAATTTTGAAGTGTGTTTCGTTCAATTTTTTACCAGGTGATGAGTTAAAATTATTGGCGTCTGATATTCGCGTGATTACGGTATGAGGGTATATGACTAAATATGGTGTGTACCGTTATAAATATGTCGGAGCTGGTTGCACCAGAGGGAAACATTTGCAGTGTTAGGAAAGGCACGAAGGCAAGGGAGCGGGGAAAATGGCGGGCAACAATCAGACCTCTGGTGTTGTTGTTGTTGTTGAAGCCGGGATGTTGTGGCCTGCTGGGTCCTGTTGCTGCTGGCAACACTGGTTTTCGACGCAGTCTTTTTTTGCTTCGTCGCCCCCGACGTGGATCCCTGCTTATTGGCAGGCTTTTTCTGCGTAAACCCCAAGCTTCAAACTGGCCCAAAGACCGGGCACCCAAAGCTGAAAGGTCGCCCAAAACTAACGAACCCAAGAAGAAGAAGAAGAAGGCCAAGAAGAAGAAGCAGAACCCTAAGAAACAACAGATCATCTTGATCTGGGAAGTCATCGGCTGTGCTGTTGTCTCTGGCTTTTTGATGGGAATTGCTTCTGATGGAGGATCTTTGTTTTTCGGTATCCCGTTTATTTTGACGGGTTTTGGGATTCGCGTGATGGGGTGCTGCTGGGATGGGTTCTTCTGGTTCCTCTTCCTGATCGTCTTCTTCTACGTAGTTTTCGTCCTCTTCTTCTTCTTCTTCTTCGTCCTCCCTTTCTGCGTATTTTTCTTTTTCTGCTCTGTGTCTTTCTTGGCTGCTGGATTTTTTCTGAGGTTTCTTTGACTCTTTGGGATCCTTTTGACCCCCTGTCTTAGGTTTTGAGAGGGATTTTTGGGAAGAAGATTTTTCCTTGGTGACTTTCTTACTTTGCTCCGAGTCTTTTTTAGTTGTGGGTTTCTTTTGATTGGAGGATTTTTCCTGGGTTTGATTATGTTTCTTTGAGGTTTTTGGGATTGTTTGATGCTGAGAAGGATCCCTTGTCTCCTGTTGATTTTGTTTTTTTGATATTTTTGAGTTGTAAGAAAGATCTTCTGGGTCCTCGAAACTTTCGTCCTCCTCTTCTTCTTCTTCTTCTTCTTCTGGTTCTTCTTCTTCTTCATCTTGTTCCTCTTCCTGGGGTTCCACAGCAGGAGGGAAGTTAATTTGGGGTTCGAAGTTTGACCGGGTTTCTGGCCCGTGGGTTTCGACTTTCCAGCGGGTTTTGATTGCTTGGGTTCTTCTTCTTCTTCTTCCGGTTCTTCTTCTTCGTCTTGGGATTCTTTGTTGTCGTCTTGATCTGGGAAGTCGTCGGGTGTGCTGTTGTCTCTGGCTTTTTGATGGGAATTGCTTCTGATGGAGGATCTTTGTTTTTCGGGATCCCGTTTATTTTGACGGGTTTTGGGATTCGCGTGATGGGGTGCTGCTGGGATGGGTTCTTCTGGTTCCTCTTCCTGATCCTCTTCGTCTTCTTCTACGTAGTTTTCGTCCTCTTCTTCTTCTTCTTCTTCGTCCTCCCTTTCTGCGTATTTTTCTTTTTCTGCTCTGTGTCTTTCTTGGCTGCTGGATTTTTTCTGAGGTTTCTTTGGCTCTTTGGGATCCTTTTGACCCCCTGTCTTAGGTTTTGAGAGGGATTTTTGGGAAGAAGATTTTTCCTTGGTGACTTTCTTACTTTGCTCCGAGTCTTTTTTAGTTGAGGGTTTCTTTTGATTGGAGACTTTTTCCTGGGTTTGATTATGTTTCTTTGAGGTTTTTGGGATCGTTTGATGCTGAGAAGGATCCCTTCTCTCCTGTTGATTTTGTTTTTTTGATATTTTTAAGTTGTAAGAAAGATCTTCTGGGTCCTCGAAACTTTCGTCCTCCTCTTCTTCTTCTTCTTCTTCTTCTGGTTCTTCTTCTTCTTCATCTTGTTCCTCTTCCTGGGGTTCCACAGCAGGAGGGAAGTTTTTCTTTTTCAGTGATGATTTTACTGGAGGAGGTTTCTTGATATTTTTGGGAGCAGGTTTTTTAGTGTCCTTTTGTTTTTGCTTTTTAATATTTGAAGGCTTTTTTGAAGACTGTGAAGGTTTGGTGTTTTGGGAATGTGTTGATGCTTCTTGTTCATGTTCTTCTTCTTCCTGCTCTTCTTCATGATGTACTTCATCTTCTGAGACATTGAGTTCCTCACTGGACATTTTTGATTTCTGTTTTGCCTTTGATTTGGAGCCTGTTTTTGGTTCAGATTTGCTCCTTGGTTTCTTGGATGAGTTAGTTTTAGAAGCGTTTTTGGAAGATCCATTGAGAGAGACTGATTTATTTTTGGCAGCATTTGAAGCAGGTTTTTGAGTTTTTGATGAAGAAGAATTGCTGGGTTTGGCCTGGGTTTTATTGCTGGGCTTGGAAACACTTTTAGTGGGTTTCTGTGCTTGGGACTTTGTGGGTTTGGAACTATTACTAACAGGAACTTTGGGTCGTTGTTGTTGTTTTTGCTTTGAAGGCATCTGTGCTGGGTGTTCTTCAACATCATCAGCATCATCCTCATTGTTGTAGGACTCTGCTTCAGATAAGGAACCTTGTGATTCTTCATCCTGGTCTTCTTGGTGCCTGTTGGAAGTTGGCTTTTGGATGGGCTTTTGTTTGGTGCTTCTTGAAGTGGCTCTTGTGGACCCTTGAGAAAAAGAAGTTTTAGAGAAAAAGGCATATGTACAAGTTATGTAATCACTCCTGAATTTGTAGTTTTTTGACATTCCTCAGAATAAGAAAAACACAAGAGATATTACTGTATCTCCAGCAGGTGAGGCTTAACTTTATCAAGTTTCAACAAATTGAGCAACTTGAAAATCCTGCAAGTGTATTATGCATTTTTCTGATGCATCCTGTGATGAAAACCTGCTGAAAACAAGGCCTAACAATGTCTGAATAAATTTGTTGACATTTCACATGTTGGAACATTAATTGAACCTTGCAAATGCTGGAAAGCAGAAAATAAAGCTTGTTTATCAATCAATAAATTCTACATACATCGATTAAGCATTTTCTTTTGATGTGATTCTCTAAATCTGCCATGAATTGAACTTACAATATTTGCTCTTTTAAAAAAATCATTATGTATTCTGTTTCCAAAATCTGACAAAAAAGAAAAGCAAATGCTGTAGGTCTTAAATAGATTAAATTTTTTATTTTGTAATAAGAAATTTTCCATTTTCTCACAGGTGCACTAATTAAATGATTAGTGAAGAACCTATTCCATTAATGAGGAGAATGAACTTTGTAAGAGATGATCAAATGAGCAAACCATTAATAGTTTTTTTTTTCTAAATGGATGGCAGTTTTTGAAGTGGGCAAGTGTTCTGATTGTTTTTCAGGTGTTTTCAGATGAATTATTATTGTGCATCATGCAGATATACTCTGCTTGCCTCATTGAGGTTTTAATCATATTTGTATATTTGCTCAAATTTTTACTCAATGGGGGAACAAAATACAGTATCATTTTTTATTAAATTGTGTTTGATTTATTTCCCTTCAATCAAATGAATGTTGGTGATAGTTCACTTCCAGATGTTTGGGAGCTTTGTCGGTATTATGCTTGGTAATCATTCAAAGAAGAGTCATCTTACACATTTCCCCATTTCATTATCCAGTCAAATAATTACCCAATAATTTCCCTAACATTGGGGTCTTGGCTAACAATGCTCCTGCTTGCATGCATTCTAGTTAACCAGCTTAGAATTTGTCAGGTTTCTGCATTAGCTTGTAAGAAAAATTCCTGCTTGAATCAGTTTGTGAGACAAAAACTTCAAATTTCAAAAGATGAAGAATTTTATTTACAGGTGGTACCTTGCAGTTGAACCCTAATCCATTGCCAAACTAGGGTCAAATTGTGAGATACTCTGTGAAATTCAAAAATGCAAGTACAAAAATGAAAAAAATGGCCAAAGCAGGTCAAATTGTGGGGCATAGGTCAAATTGCAAGTCATCCTCCTGGCAAATTCTGGGATGGTCAAATTGTGAGGTACCATCTGTAATCCAATCCAGGTTAAAAATACAGATGGACTCTCTACCAAAAAATTGAAGGGATCAGAGAAATTTGTTAAAGAGAGAATTTAATTGTAGAGAATCCTAAGAACATGGGTTAATAACCTTGTGGGACAAAAATTTTTGTTTGACAGATAAATTCATGGTATACAAGATTGTTGTAAAGGCTCTACAACAATCAGCATTATAAATGTGGATTGTGCTGTGTTATAATACTGTAGAGAGTCTGTATTATGTTGGATTATAATATGTGGACTCTCTCTCTCTTTAAAATGTAGAAAGAGTGCACCTGTATTATGCTGATTGTTGTCTACAACAATCTTTTCTGCAATGACTTCATCTGTGTAACAATTTTTGGTACTTTCCTGTTATCTCAGTACCCATTTTTCTTTGTCTTGTGAATTCAGTATTCATTAGGTTAGGTTAGGTCAGGTTATGTTAATTGAAAGATATTTGTAACTAACATAACCTGACCTAACCTAACTAAACCTAACTTTACCTAACCGCCTCCCAAAATCAGTTTCAGCAGAATGCAAAAAAATGAAATTCAGTTTCTGGTAGGTGCACGGAAAGTAGGTACTGAGATAACAGGAAAGTACCCTATTTTTGTGTGTCCCATATGAGGTTCCATGTCTACAATGTAGAGAGAGAGAGTCACCCAGTATTATGGTGTGACAAGTTGTGTTGTTGACAAAGACCCCTCTGATGTACTAGTTCTCTTGAACTCAATGTCCACTGACCATAATGTCAGTATGCATACATCTTCTCACGGCCCACCAAAACAGTTGTGAACCATGAATCAAAATCAATCTTCAGATTTGCCTATAGTTCAAAAATCCCAGGCACAAATCAAGGATAACTGCCATATACAATAGTGTATACTAGACACACCTGTTTGAGCTCTGGACTCAGTCTCAGACCTGGTAGTGGAGGAAAAGTATTCCCTCTCCTCTGTCACCCTGGCATAGTTTTCACTGAACCCAGAGTCCTTGCCTCCACTGGCCTCAGATGGATCCAGACTCTGATGCTCCAGATGGCCCAGATACTCCTCCTGTTTTTGCTCGGCTCTGCCTCTTTGACCCCGCCTTCCCGGTACTGGNACACAAGAGATATTACTGTATCTCCAGCAGGTGAGGCTTAACTTTATCAAGTTTCAACAAATTGAGCAACTTGAAAATCCTGCAAGTGTATTATGCATTTTTCTGATGCATCCTGTGATGAAAACCTACTGAAAACAAGGCCTAACAATGTCTGGATAAATTTGTTGACATTTCACATGTTGGAACATTAATTGAACCTTGCAAATGCTGAGAAGCAGAAAATAAAGCTTGTTCATCAATCAATCAAATCTATATATATTGATTAAGCATTTTCTTTTGATGTGATTCTCTAAATCTGCCATGAATTGAACTTACAATATTTGCTCTTTAAAAAAATCATTATGTATTCTGTTTCCAGAATCTGACAAAAAAGAAAAGCAAATGCTGTAGGTCTTAAATAGATGAAATTTTTCATTTTCCAATAAGAAATTTTCCATTTTCTCACAAGTGCACTAATTAAATTATTAGTGAAGTACCTATTCCATTATTGAGGCAAATGAACTTTGTGAGAGATGATCAAATGAGCAAACCATTAATAGTTTTTTTTTCTAAATGGATGGCAGTTTTTGAAGTGGGCAAGTGTTCTGATTGTTTTTCAGGTGTTTTCAGATGAATTATTATTGTGCATCATGCAGATATACTCTGCTTGGCTCATTGAGGTTTTAATCATATTTGTATATTTGCTCAAATTTGTACTCAATGGGGGAACAAAATACAGTATCATTTTTTATTAAATTGTGTTTGATTTATTTCCCTTCAATCAAATGAATGTTGGTGATAGTTCACTTCCAGATGTTTGGGAGCTTTGGCAATACTGTATTATGCTTGGTAATCATTCAAAGAAGAGTCATCTTACACATTTCTCCATTTCATTATCCATTTTAATAATTATCCAATAATTTCCCTAACATTGGGGTCTTGGCCAAAAATGCTCCTGCTTGCATGCATTCTAGTTAACCAGCTTGAAATTTGTCAGGCTTCTGCATTAGCTTGTAAGAAAAATTCCTGCTTGAATCAGTTAGTGAGACAAAAACTTCAAATTTTAGAACATGAAAAATTTTAATTACAGTTGGTACCTTGCAGTTGAACCCTAATTCATTGCCAAACTAGGGTCAAATTGTGAGACACTCTTGTGAAATTCAAAAATTCAAGTACCGAAATGAAAAAAATGGCCAAAGCAGGTCAAATTGTGGGGCATGGGTCAAATTCCAAGTCATCCTCCTGGCAAATTTGACTGTCAAATTGTGGGATGGTCAAATTGTGAGGTACCACCTGTAATCCAATCCAGCTTAAAAATACAAGTGGACTCTCAATAAAAAAAATTGAAGGGATCAGAGTAATTTTTTACAAAGAGAATTTAATTGTAGAGAATCCTAACAACATGGGTTAATAACCTTGTGGGACAAAAATTTGTGTTTGACATACATTCATTGTATACAAGATTGTTGTATAGGCTCTAACAATCAGCATTATGAAGGTGGAATGTGCTGTGTTATAATACTGTAGAGAGTCTGTATTATGTTGCATTTTAATATAGGTGGACTCTCTCTCTCTCAAATGTAGAGAGAGAGAGTGCACCTGTATTCTGCTGATTGTTGTCTACAACAATCTTTTTGGAATGACTTTGTCTGTGTAACAATTTTTGGTACTTTCCTGTTATCTCAGTACCCATTTTTCTTTGTCTTGTGAATTCAGTATTCATTTGGTTAGGTTAGGTCAGGTTATGTTAATTGAAAGATATTTGTAACTAACATAACCTGACCTAACCTAACTTTTCCTAACCGCCTCCCAAAATCAGTTTCAGCAGAATGCAGAAAAATGAAATTCACAGTTTCTGGTAGGTGCACGGAAAGTAGATACTGAGATAACAGGAAAGTACCCAATTTTTGTGTGTCCCATATGAGGTTCCATGTCTACAATGTAGAGAGAGAGTCACCCAGTATTATGCTGTGACAAGTTGTGTTGTTGACAAAGACCCCTCTGTACTAGTACTCTTAAACTCAATGTCCACTGACCATAATGTCAGTATGCATACACTTTCTCAGGGCTCACCAAAATAGTTGTGAACCATGAATCAAAATCAATCTTCAGATTTGCTTATACAGTCAACCCCCGTCTAACGGACTTGATTTGTGCAAGGGACGAGTCTGTTAGACAAAAAGTCCTTTACACAAA